AAGTAGAAGCAAATGTTAGCTGAGATTATATAAAAGAAAATGATCCTAACAAAAGAATATGATATGATATGTTCCTGTATGAAACATAAGACCTTAATATCTCTAAAATATTACATATATAAATGAAGACTTGCTGATTTCACTTCAGTGAATTAATAAAATATACTCTGCGTATTTGAACTAAAACTTCATATAAACCTTCGACAAGACAAAAATGGCTTTATAAAATGTCGGATTTTCTGAGTATTGAATTAATTGCTTTATATTAATTGCTTTATATTATATTGATATAGGACAAAAGTGCTTTAGTATTTATTGTAAGCAGACACAAATTAAAACTAAATTAATAGTGGATATCATTTATTAATTAAAAATGGATACAATGGTAGCGGATTTGTTTAAAAGAGAAACTTGAATTATAACAAGAAAATAAAGTGTAATTGTAATTTTTGAAGTTACATATATGCAATATACAGTCAAATTTCTATAACTCGAACTCTATAACTCGAACTAAACAGAGTTCAAAAGGGTTTAGAACACAAATTACATACAATTACAAAAAAAAATTTTAACTTGAAGTCTCCAGAAGTCGTACCTTTTCTTTGCAAAATGGTACTTCGATTTATGGAAGCTGAACTGTATATGGAGTTCGGCATAGTAATAATAAAGTATATAAATGCAAACTCATATATCTAATGAGTTCAAGAATTCGTAATACAAGTGTAGAACAAATTTTCATGTATGATTTAAAAACGAGAACGGATGCTGTGATTGCACATCAAGTAGTCAAAACGAGCAACCCCAACACGATGTTGCAGGCATTAGGATTAAATCCACACTGTAGCTGCCGACTGTAAGTGAGAAGTGATACAGTAATACGACATAAGTCAAAATATCAATTACAAGACATAGCGTCAGATAGTTTTTGAATAGAAGCGATCGATCTAGAATTGAAGAAACAGGTTTCTTCTGAAGCGTCTTTTGCTGAAAAAAAAATTAATATAAAGCAAAAAATGTAAAGATCTTATGCTGTTTAAGGAGAAGGATCCCAGATATGAACACTAGCTTAACCACTGTTAAGTATATAAACTCTATTCGAAAATATATGTAAAACATATAAAATATATGTAATATGTGAAACGGATTATATTACTAAACGAATAAGAAAAATATGAAAAGGGTAAGGGAATGTTGCCAGTAGGATGTGTCATTATTAACTTCCTAGTGCAATAATGAATAGTATAATTATTGCTGTAAGCGATTGCAGCGACCTACCTTGAGGACAATATGAACCTTAATTATCGTCGTTCAGAGAATACCATTTGAGTTTGAATAAGTTTAAAATGTCTAAATATACGATGTACTGGAACTCATTCTGCCGTTTCACGATATTTGTTCAAAAATCGACGCACTAAGCTTTCATTAAAATGGATTTGAGCTGCTATTTCGCGTACGGATACATTTTGTTCCACTAGTGCTATAATTGTTGCTTTTTCCTTAACAGTCATTTAGGCTGACTTTTTAATTTGTCTCCTATAAAAAATTCTTTATGATGTGATTGTAGGAACTCGATTTTTGTTTTATACCTTCTGCTCAAAAAGTATCCGGAATTTGTTGTTTGTTAACTACTCCTTAAGTAATAGACCTTTTTCAAAAAATTTTTGGTTATCTTAATACACCCTTTCTTGACATATGGTACAAATTTGAGCGTTATCTGTCAAATAGTTTATTTACAGCAGCTGTTAATGTGAGACTACCTCAAGTGCATTTAGCGATTTTTACTATGGATTTTTACCACTGTCATCGCTCAGGCGAAATAAAATAAATTTGGAATAAAATTTAAATTTGTGTGTTTTATTTACAAAGTCCGAGTACTTTTTGAGCAGAAGGTATACCATAAGTTATTATATAAAAATATAAATTTTTTAAAAAACACAACCTAAAGCCCGCTAAAATTTAAATACCATTAAAATTAACGCATAAACCACAGCTATATAAATTAACTTAATCATTGTAAATTATTGGTATAAATAAAATAAAAAGATTTTGTTGAATGCTTATTAATATTCCGATATTTCAGATTATTTTCTTATTAATAGATTTTATTTTATTTTTACAGATCGATGATTTTTTGCAAACATTGGAATTCGATTTGGAACGGGATGTTAATTCGTTCGATGCAGTGCTTGGACAGTGTATGTACTTTGGTTTATCTTTTAGTCGAGTGGGAGCCGATTTTCGTACATTAATGGTGCCAATATTTGTGCGCGTTATAAGAAATAAATTTATAAATTCCATTAGTCAAGTCAATCAAAATTTCGAATACGCCTTGGACAAGTACACATTGATAAATAAGGTTGCCTTGCATGCTAGGAATACAAGTAATAAACAGAATGCAGTTGTGAATGCTCCTACGGATACCACGGATGCACCAGATAAAGATGCTAGTAAACCCAAAGATAATGAATCGCTTGGACCACCAGAAACTTTACTTGATTTTCAGCCTTTAGCATTACTTTGCAATGGTTACTTGAATGCCTTGAATGAGTTGCGTTTGTGCGCGCCAATCGCTTTAGCCAATGATGTCACATATTGCATACAAAAATCACTAGAAATTGTAGCATTACGCATATTGGCCTTCTATCGTCAGGAGCAGCAAGCTTTTACCAGTAGTGAACGTGAAACATTTGGTAAATTATGTTCATGTTTTGCTTATGATCTACTGGCGTACCTGCAACGTTGCATCCACGCCATTTTTGGTACAGAGACGCTGATGCAACAAATGGGTGTGAATATTTCAGTGTTGGAGCAAGAGCATATTACATTTCTGAAGCATAATGAAATACTGGAACCACTTAAACACTTGCTGCCAAAAAGAATTGAACCACAGATTAATAAAACGTCAGCAATAACGCCAATGCCACAAGCAGAAATGAATACTACAGAAATTGTTGTAGGTTAGGCAGTAGAACAATGCCTTCTATTTTAGTTTCTATTAATTTTTGTATGTTATATCACCTGTGCCCTATATAAATATAATATATGATTAAATTAAAATTAAAAGCAACTCTAAATTGTTACTTTCATTTGCAGTTTGTAACCGCAAAATCTTTAACTAATGCATAAATTGATAAAAATATCCCACAACTGTTTTGGTAATATTATCGAGACTAAACCACCCACACTTCATGCGGTGCAACAATACACATCACACTCGTTAGATACAAAAGTAAATAATGTAATTTATGAATTACAATTAAAAAGGAAAATTAGCCACATGAATCCATCAGCTATCACCCATCATACGAGCAGTGTATCTATCTGGAAAAAGTGGCAAACTGTACATATTGCATTGATTGGTGAGGGAGTTGCAAACACATCGATATAAGAATACAAATGTATATATCGTATATATATATATATAATTGTACAGATATATACATATATATATATGTATATGGCATCATATATAGCAGTGAATATTAGTAAAATTTATATACACGTACTTACCACGTACAATGGCAGTTGTATGTGACATGAGTTAAAGTTTTATTTTGCTGCTCGGTCTTTGTGCTTGGGTCATCATTTCTGCAGCTGGTGTAATAAAACTCCCCATTTGGTCATTTGGCAATTATCCCGATAAATTAGCAGCAGGAAGGACAGCAGCACAAAATCAAATAAATGAGCAAAATGGCAACAACAATAACAACAACAGCAATGCCAACAATGGCAGCAACGGCAACGACATCGATGAATCCCATAGACTCTATTACTGGAATTGCCATAATGGATGCACACACATAGCGGTTCATATTTCCAATCACATGATTAGACAAATATATGTATCTCAACGTTCAGCGACGGCGTTTTTAATGTTCGTTCATTGCAGAATATAATTTTCACATTTATAAAAACGAAAATTACTCTTAATACGTGTTTGTGTACAGTGGCCGATGTGCGGGGGTGGGTTCTGCACTGACAAGGGACAAATTTCGAAAAATTATAAAACGTTTTACCGGATTATCTCATTGTTGTTGTTTTGAAATTTTCAAATTCGTATTTTGGAATAGGATATTGTAATTAGAAGTTAGTGAATGCAAGTTTTTTTCTTTAAGAAGAGATGAGGTGTACGTAATAATATGCTCTTAATAATTCGGATAATTATAAGCCAATAGTTCTCTTGATTACCAAACCAAGAATGTGGAAAAATTACATTTTATTTAATCATATTCGATAAATAAAATTAAATGATCGGTTATTAAGTAAAAGTAATAAATAAATTAAAATAGTTTTAAAATCAACTATGATGAAAGTCATAAAGGATTTATGGAATCAAAATGGCTTTCTTAACTAATTGGTAAGAATTTGCTAATCCACTTCATCTAACTTAACTTATGAAGAAAGTAAACTATTTCAATAATAAAAGAGTTTGTGAATAATAGTAATTTACAACAAAATTTTTTTTAATGTTAATTTTTTCTTGCCGAATCATGAAAACAAACTTTAGAAAGGTTCGTATAGACATGAAAAGACAATAACAAAATTTTTTGTAAATTTATTGAAATTTGGTTGATCACATAACGCTGTTTCGAATATTGCCAAGTACTCATCATCAGTAGTCTTAGGATATATTCGAATTTTTTAATTTGTTTGTAGTTTATATATAATAAGCTAAGCTTAGAGTTTTGAATAAATTAAATAGCAGTAAAAATGTAGTAAAATATAAATATATATAAATATAGATAAATAAATAAATATAAATATAGATATATATAGTAAAAATATAATATAAAAGTATTTGGTCGTAATATAGTAGAAACAATTTGAAATATTAAAAACATATTATGTTTATCTATATGCGTGTATAACACTGTTTCTTAAACGAATATATGCGTCATTATCATTATCTGTATCAAACTTTTAATCTACTTCATTATATATATGTATTTATTTACGTCTCTTGGATGCGTATAAGACCTTCACGTCATATTCTATGAGTCTGTTTTGTTTTGAACTGAGCTAGAAAGAGATTTTTGGAAAGGAATATCCTATTCGTACTGGTCCATGCGAACTATATTTTCTAGTTGCACGTCTCTTGTGGATACATATAAAACAACTAGTCTTATTCTCTCTGACTGTCTGGCTTTGATTGGTTACATGTCACTTGGAATCAAATGAGTCCTTTAGGTATATATTCTTTAACTGTCTAGCTGTGATCTGAATCAGAATGAGATTTTTAGATAAAAGATTACATTTCATATTTTCTTTAACTGTCCACCTGTGATCTGAATCAGTATGAGATTTTTTGACGTGAGTCAAAGGAGTTGAGTCTTTTAGTCACATTTTCTGTCCAGTTCTGATTTGGACCAGGATGAGATTTTTATACAAAAGATTATATTACTCCTATTTCACGCGAACTATAAATTTAAACTCTATGTCTATTGGAGGCAGATGAGATCTACCTCCAATAGTTGTATGCCATTTGAAATCCAATGAGAATTCTAGTCATATTTTCAGTGATTGTTCGACTTTGGTCTGAACTAGGAAAAAATGTTTGGGTTAGTAATCTTCATTCGGATGGAAGAAGGTGTTTTGTTTAATAGGATCGGTTAGAAGCACAAAAGATCAGTAAACTACTCTACTCTACTCTACTTTGCGTAGTTTCTGTTTTCTATGTGTATTACAGGTTCATTCGATTCTCTTTAAATAAAAAAGTCATAATCATAATCCAGTAAAGCATCTTTATTGATATTAACTTAAATGATTTTGACTAATTTTTTTGCATTTTGTTTTTTAATTAAACATTTTAAAAATTTTAATTTATTTATTAAAAACAATTTATTCGAAAATTTTGTATATTTTTTTGCCTCTCCAATATGTTGTAATTAGAAAGCAGGAGACCTCATTTCTACTCTTAATACAAACTAGTGCTTAGATGGAGTAAATTGCGCTATGATCGAATAACTGCAATGATGTGTAGCGTGTAATTATTCTAACGTGTAGTGTAAATTTCGTTTACGCACAACTCAAACATACACACACACACATACACACATTCTGTACAAAAAAACAAGTTCAATTGAAGCGAAAATAAAATTGGCGGGCGACTCACATATTAACCACAATCAAAGTCACGCATTTGTGAGGCAAATTTAAATGACCAAACGACCGATCAACCACATCAGTTAGTGCTCAGCTACAAGAACAATAAAACAACAACAACGATTACAACAACAATTGCACTTGCGGTTTATGTTGACGTACGCGTCTGTCGATTGTATTAGAATAAATTTTGTGAAGTGGTTTTCAGCTATTTTTGTGCTATTTTATTTTTTGATTTTGATTTGTATGTATCGTTTTTGTTGTTGTTGTTGTTGTTGGTGGTGTTTTTTTTTGTTTGTTGTGTGAGCATTCGTAAGTGTGGACGAAATTTTTTATTTTTGCATTGCAATAATTGAGCTTGGCGCTAAATTGGGATTTCGCGGATTTGCAAGTGATTGCTTGTTTGATTGTCCTGCTGCCTGCCTGCTGCTGCCTGCTGCCTGCCGGCTACCAGCTGCAACACTGTGTGCACGCACGAGGTGGGTGTCACTAGAAATGGGGCCATATTTGTGATGTGCAGTTGCAGAGCAATTTAACAGTTTTGATAGTTGAAAAGGTAGATCTATTATAAGAATTTTTTATTATGCCTTCTCAAAAGGCTTATGCGCGGTCAACCGAACTGCCGAAGCCAAATAAAGCCACACAAGTACGTAAACTGCAGTGATAAGGGGAGCTGTTGGTTAGAGGAGTTGTAGCATGATCGGGTGAACAATTTTTTGTTGTAATAGGAGCACGAACAATTGTAGTCGTAGTAGTTGGCATTACAAATGTAGCGAAATATGCAAACATGTCTGATGGACAAGTGAAAAGTTTAGTGCTCTTCTATATTTTTTTGTTTTTGTTTTTTCTATTTTCAAGCTATTCGCTATACTTGCAATGTATTCGCATACACACACACAAACGAATCAACGAAACTGAGTCAATTTGGTGCACTGCTAATGTAATAGAGTTACAACTACAACTACACATTAAGTATGCGTAGAGAAGTGTGCATAGAGTTTGAGTTATGTGGGTTAGCAAAAACAAAAAAAAAACAACAACAATATCAAACCTACAGGCAACAGTAATAACAATTGAAAGAGTAGGAGTAAAAGTGGCAAAAGGGATAGTAGTGGTAGTAGCGGCAGAGGTGGCAGTAGTGGTAGTAGTGGCAGAGGTAGCAGTAGTGGTAGTAGTGGCAGCATAGGCAATAGCAACAATATTTATGTGATTTCGCGTTTGCAATCACAAAAATTCCAGTAAACCGACAAATTTTTCTTTGTTGGCTTATTCTTATGTTTATAAATGTGTAGCTTAAACATGTGTGTGTGTGTGTGTGTGTGTGTGTGTGTCGGTACGAGTGTGTGCGTTTGTAATTCCATGCGTTTTCGTAGGTGCAATTTGGTTGCAATTGTTGTTGGTAGGTGCTTTTGATGAATTGTGTTGAGTTGAGATAAATGCAGTTACGCTTACATTCTGAAAATAACTGACCCGGTAAACAGTTCTTAGTGACGTCAACTGCAAATCAAAAAAAAAAAAATAAAGGTGGTCTTTTATTTCACGACATCTGATATTTCTTTTCTTAGAATTATTGAGGACATTGAGAATATATGTCAAAAAAAATTGTTGCCTTTTATTTTGCGATATCTGCTATCCTCTTTCTCAGGACTATTAAGTATATATGAGTATTAAAAAAAACTATTAGCACTTTTTTTTCGTATATCTGCTATTTCTTTGCTTAGAATTATTGAGAATATATTAAAAAAAAACATTGTTTCATTTGATTTATAACAGTTTTTTTTCGTCATATTAGAAGATCTGGTGATTTGTTAAAAATCAGTTTTTAAAAAAAATCAGTTTGTCCTTTACCTCTAGTTTTAACAATATTCCTGAATTTAGAGCCGTTAATAAATTCAATGCACTTAAAGATACAATGTCATCCAGTTTGTGATTTCAAAGGAGAACTAAAGATACGCTTGTGATTAACAGTAAATTTCGATAAAAATTTAATTTCAAAATATTGCTTGAACCTTACTATTAGGTGCTAAACACAAAATCAATTAGATATTTCTGCAACTCATCTTACAGCACTGCATCATTTTGAGGTTATTTGTGTTGACTTGTCGACACATGGTCATCATAATCAATTCCTGTGTATCCCACTGAAGTATAGGGCCTCTAAGGTTTCTGCTATATTTGAATTTTTGTTAAGATAACATGCACCTCAAAATTCGATGTGCAGGCTGTCGACGCAGTAGGATTTCTCGAATCGCTATTACCCCTTGAAGACTTTCTAAACGTGACGTTTAAGTCCATGTTTTGCTT